AGGGGGAAAGAAAAAATTCCCCCCGAAACCCAACAAACTCCCACCAGGGAACGCGCCGACAAGCCCACTTGGTTTAATGTTCCCCGCCCGTGGAACGTGAGGCCGGTCAAGGTGAGGTCCTCGAGCGACGCTTCCCCTCCCGGCCAGCTGCTGTTGAGGGCTGGCCAGCTGAGGACGCTCACGGGCATCGTCAGGTTCTTCTGCAGCGGCGTCTGGTAGCGCGACGTCCACAGGTGGTCGAACTGGCCGAGCTCCTCCCGCTCCAGCAGGAACCCGCCTGCGCTCCGGCAGTGGCGGTGCGCCGCTTCCCACGACTGCGAACGGAAGGCTTTTCTTAGAAGGGGTGTGTAACGTTTTTGGTCTGGGTGGAGGTCGCTTAATGTCAGCAAAGGTGGCAGGCAGTTCTCATGACGAAAAGAAAAAGAACATTTTCAGCCCGCTTCTTACCATTGGCCGCGGGCCGGGCATGAGGCAGTCACCAAGGACGGCCACATTGCAGCTTGGGAGGGGGTCCAGAGGGGCAGGCTCTTCGGCGGGAAAGACGGATTTCGTCTGCGCCCAAACCGCCGCCGAAGAGACCAACAGGAGGACCCCACGAACCACCGCAAGACGATGAAGAAACGCCATCATCGTGTGCAGATTGGGAAACGTTTATATATATTTTTAAAGATTTCTGTTGTCTATGCTAATGACATGGGCCCGTCGTCACGTTGGCGTTGGTGGCGATTTCGTGGTCCACAGGTGCGCACGAAGGCAGTGAAGGCGCTGCTGCTGAATGAAGTCGGCAATAACGGCAAACTAGTCACTCGAGGAGCTTCCACGAAACAAACTATTTCATTTTCTTCACACAAAATTACATGTCCCTTTAGCTTTGCTTTCGCCTGGTGCTCGTCCTGTATTTTGTCACTGGCATGGTTATAAGTGCAGCGCAAGCAAGTGAGATTAACTGGAAAATAAACAGAAATCAGCTGTGTCTGAACTTTTATCATATCATGTTACTTAATACCAAGAAACCTCTCTTGTCCACTGTCAACTTTTAATAGGTCCTACTCAGCAGCCATTCTCGTGGTCTCTACGCAAATCAAAGCACATATTCCTAAAGTGAAAGTATGAGTTTATCAACGAAATAAATATGAAGAAACGAAGAATAAAGATTTACAAATGCATGACGAAATAAACGATGTATCACGAACAGCACTCCCTCATTCCATCCCCCTCCCCCTCCCCCATCCTTCAAGATATGGAGCCACCTGCAGATACTATTATCATTCAAAAATATGACACACTGGACTAGAGGCGAGACTAAGTTCGCCGAAACCAATAACCCGCTCCAAGTGAGTCGCCAGACACCTCGCTTCACGCGCGTAAAAGTAAACACAGACCTGTTGAGCTTCATCTTCACTAAAGGAATTCCCGAATAAAAATTATTCCGTATTGTCCGTTATCTGACACTTCCGAACATGACGCTAAGTCATCAAACGTGACGCAGGAGAGGCCTATATCCTGGAGGCGGAGGATGTCATGTGACGTCAGCTGATACAAAAGAGTGACGTCATGGGAAGAAGCGACCTCTCGTGGACACTTATTATGATTGCGTAAGACGCCAGCACACCCGCAGGCAAGCACTATACCCCCACACAAGCACATACCCGAACACAAACGCCTGTTGAAGAAAATATTTTACTCGAGAGAACACGTTGAAAAATCCGAAAACAAACGTATTCACAAACGAACAAAAAAAAATATATATATATATACCACAAGACAATAATAAAAAAAAAAAAATAAAGAAATAAAATAACATGAACCATAAATAAAAAAAAACAACAAGAATAAGAAGCAGCATCGAGAGCAGAAATAACCCACGAACTAAAATTATTTTGCGTGTGTTACAGGAGTCTGCGAAATGGCGTGTACAACAACATTAGAGTAAATTCCCTTGGAGGAGCACACGGATCCCATGCATGGCCTCTGTGCTGACCTTTGGTGTCCATTACGGTCTATATACTTTTATACTTCAGTATGCCAGGCCACATTCTTCACACATAATCTGAATATTTCAATTATATTTTTTAACATTCTATTGGCTGAATTATTATTTTTGAACCGCCATTGAATTCTCAGTAAGGGTAATGTAATATCCAAATTAATTGTTATGATACTCATCTTAGTTTGATCATATATTTTTGTTGATTTATAAAAAAAGGCTGAATGTCCTTCAGCTGATAGGACAAATGAACTATTATTCAAATCATTCTTCAGGATAATTTCTACAAAAAAGGCTTTCAAGACAAACTTCTTTCGGGGACAGTGTGATCTTAAGATAATTCTTCTTGTAAATATCAGTGTCCAAGACAACAGTGTCTTTCTCGTCTATTCTTATCACTCCTTTTCTTCTCCTCCTCTTACTACTGCCACTACTACCATTTTTCTTCTTTCTTCTTTTGCTACTGCAACAACAAAAATAAAAACAACAACAACAACTACTACTACTATTACT